TGCCTGACCAATCTGGTGGCCTTCTAAGATGGGGCTAGGGAACTGATGGACAGGGGTAGAGCAGCTGATGTCATCTACCTGGACTTGTGCAAAGCATTCGACACTGTCCCGCATGACATCCTTGTCTCTAAATTGGAGAGACATCAGTTTGACGGATGGACCACTCGGTGGATGAAGAACTGGCTGGATGGCCTCACGCGAAGAGTTGTGGTCAGTGGCTCAGTGTCCAGCTGGAGACCAGTAACGAGTGGTGTCCCTCAGGGATCGGTGTTGGGACCGGTCTGGTTCAACATCTTCGTCACTGACATGGACAGTGGGATTGAGTGCACCCTCAGCAAGTTTGCCGATGACACCAAGCTGTGTGGTTCAGTTGATACCCTGGAGGGAAGGAATGCCATCCAGAGGGGCCTTGACACACTTGTGAGGTGGGCTGATGCCAACCTTATGAAGTTTACCCATGACAAGTGCAAGGTCCTACACCTGGGTGGGAGCAATCCCAGGCACAGCTACAGGTTTGGCAGAGAAGAGATTCAGATCAGCCCTGCGGAGAAGGACTTGGCGGTGTTGGTCGATGAGAAACTGAACATGAGCCAGCTTCAGTGTGCGCTCGCAGCCCAGAAAGGCAACCGCATCCTGGGCTGCGTCAAAAGGAGCGTGACCAGCAGGTTGAAGGAGGTGATCCTGCCCCTCTCCTGTGCTCTCGTGAGACCTCACTTGGAGTATTGTGTGCAGTTTGGCGTCCTCAACATACAAAGGACATGGAACTGTTGGAACAAGTATAGAGAAGGGCCACAAGGACCATCAGGGGACTGGAGCACTTCCCGTCTGAAGACAGGCTGAGGAAGTTGGGTCTGTTCAACCTGGAAAAGAGAAGGCTGCATGGAGACCTCATAGCAGCCTTCCAGTATCTGAAGGGGCCTCTAAGGATGCTGGGGAGGGACTCTTCATTAGGGACTGTAGTGACAGGACATGGGGTAACGGGTTAAAACTTCAACAGGGCAAGTTTAGATTGGATGTAAGGAGGAAGTTCTTTACTGTAAGGGTGGTGAGGCACTGGAATGGGTTGCCCAAGGAAGTTGTGAATGCTCCATCCCTGGCAGTGTTCAAGACCAGGTTGGAAGGAGCCTTGGGTGACATGGTTAAGTGTGAGGTGTCCCTGCCCATGCAGGGGGGTTGGAACTAGATGATCTTAAGGTCCTTTCCAACCCTAACTATTCTATGATTCTATATGCATAACATAGTAGAGCTTTCTGTTGCATTCTGTTCAGTTCCATTCCACTCTTCTGTTCTATTCCACTGCATTTTATCGCCTCCCCCTCCCTGCACTCACAAGTTGTACAATGAGGAGATCCTTATTTACCTGAAATGCCAAGGGAATTTCAGCACCAAAACCACTTTCAAAGACACAACTCAGAACGGTTACGGGTAGAAAGAGTATTTGATTTATTTCTAAATCAAGTGATTTGATTTAGTTTAGCTTAGTTAATTGTAGTCTGGTTTAGCTTAGACCCTTCAGTTTAGCTGGAAAAACCCTCCCTTGCAGCCTGAGAAAGGAAAGCCAGGGCAGGAGCGGTGCCGTGGTGGTGCGAGAGCAGTGCAAGAAAGAATCCAGCCAGAACTGGATGATCTTAAGGTCTTTTCCAACACTAACTGTTCTATGATTCTATGAAAAATCCTACATGGTAGTATATACTGTAGCCATGCCATGTTGACACAGATTTCTTTTAACAAATCTGGTCTTTCAGTTGTCTATACTTAATTGGTTGAAACTGGTTGGGAAATACTGGCTATGAGTTCAGAGCAAAGGCAGGAAAAAAATCTGAAAAAAAAAAAAAGCAAGCTCACTGTGAACCTTTCTTTTAATTTTGGCAATTGCTTGATTCTTGATTGGGATCGTTCTGCATACTTTCCTATTACCTGCTGATACTTGAAACAGAATCACATCAGCTTTGGTCCAGGTCTTGGAATTTCAGGTGTTATGCTATTAGGTGCTTTTGAATTCAAGACCTGGATCCTCATCCTTGTATTAAAATTGATGCTGGCGAAATATTCACTGGGATGTTTGTAAGCAGAAGTAACTGTTAAAGCACCTTTTTCACTTGCTTGCATTCCTCTCCTATGTCTACAGCTGTTCTTGTGCGATCTCTGTTCCCAGACTGTAAGATACAACTGTTGCCACTGCTGTTGAATTATTTGCAGTTTCATGTGCCAAAACAAGGCAACATGCAATTGATGATTCTGCTTCACTAAATACATTCTGCTGTTTTCTCTGATTTTCGTCTTCTGACAGTTAAGGGGCTCCCTTACAGATTTTATTAGACAAGCTACTATTGGAGACCATTTTCCCATATGATTAATTATATGTAGGAAATTTCAGCAGAAATGCCATGGATTCAGATAAGGTGAATGATGGCTGTAGCCCATCTGTGTTCCACTGACTTGCCTGTTGACTGGTTTATGTGTTCATCAGATTTTAATCTGTTCTTTTTTGAGCTCACATTTGTCATTCTGAATAAAGGGCCACTGTTGAAAACATCTCAGAACTCTTCAGAGTCACTCATGGTGTTCACGTTTACTGTTGCTGCAAACAAATGCACCATCTGTACGGCAAAGGCAATGCTGTCACAATTCACTTTTCTTTTTTGAAACGATCTGATGCTGGTGACATACTGAATGGAAGCCAGTTTAGTCATCAAAAGCTTGATGAGCATAGGAAAAGTATACCAAGGGGAATTTAAGAAAAGCCTACAGTTGCATACAGCTTTGAGGATATGTAGGTCTGAGGTGACTGAACCAAAGTCCTTTACAATTCCAGATTCAGCAAGACTATGAACTGCAGGCATAAAAGCTTTTGTTTCTTCTCCTTGTTTCTTACTAAGTTTAGCTTTTTTATAGATAACACTATTTTTATTTGGGTGCCTTTCACTGAGTAATTAGAGTCAGGCAGCAGAAACTCTGATCAGCAAGCTCAATGTATTAATTGGTCAGCTTATCTGAAATTCCAGGATGCACATGATAAGGCATTAATTAAGATATCATAATACAGTGGCTGCTTTTTCATACCATTATTGATTGCTGTTGGAAAACAAAGTAGCTCATATACATCCTCTGGTATTATTACATAATCCATCATATTCTCAAATACGAAATTGCATATTTGACACATCTGCTCTTCTGCATTATTATTATCAGCTGTAATATTTCAACCCACTCAAGGAGAAATACAATACTTATGACCTACTTTTTGCCTAATTTTTCTTAAATTCCTTCTTGTTTCCCTAATTTTGCTGATGAAATCTTCTTTGCTTTTTCACATCCTCCTCAATTTTCTAGGGATTCTGACTTACAGTATATATTTATTGGCAGTTTCCCTATTTTTAAGTTGAAACAATGTGATTGCTTTTTCTTAATGTTAGAAAAAGCTCTGAAGACTAAGCTGACCAAACTTAATTAGCTTGTTGATTATAAATATAAACAATCACCAAGAAAAAGTCTACATTAGTAGACATACCATGTGACAGGGGTGCAGCCTTTTCATGTAACGTTTTGTGCATCTTATATTACACTGGTTCCAGTTTTGCCCTCGCTGTGGTGCAGAATCAATAGTAACATTCATTCCCACACTGCTCATGTACAATAAGAAATGTGCTCTTTGCCCTGCTGTTTACACTCGTAAGGACCTAATGGTTGCAGCATCTCTTAGGAGGGAACAAGAAGAGTCTTTCTCTTCTGTGAAAACAAAATGATCTGTTGTTTCCACAAATAAAAAATATCAGATCAAAAGGAAACATCTTACAAGCTAGATTCAGTACACATATTGCCAGCTGGATAACAGCACCTTTACTTATGCAGTAAATTTTCAAGAAGCATTGCCAGAGCCACTTTGGTCTGAGCCATGAGGGACAATATGCACAGCATCCAAGGCTAAGGCTGTTACACAAGAATCTTAGTGCAAATGTTCCACAGCGATTTGTGAATTGTACATCTGCAAGTGATGAGCTACACTTCTAACATTGATCATTAAACCTTATCACGTGCTTCACAGTCTGGTATAAGGCAGAAAAAAGGCTTTAGTTTTGCCTTGCCCGTATAGGCCAGGTTAACATACGCATCTTATCACTCCAGAGATACAAGAAAAGGGAACTTAACAGTTTATGAATATATTGTTTATTTTCATACTGGCTTATTTCATCTCAGATTCCTCTTAATTTTTAAAACTAGCATGGAATTTCTTTTGTGATGATAGAATTTTAGCTTTTACCTTACAAATTGCCACTAACATTTCTCTTGATGCAACCTTTCCTAAAATTATTTACAATCTATTTACAATCAGTTTACAATCAATACATTTTTGAGAATAAAAATGTGTATTTTTTTTAAGAATACATATTTTCTGAAAACAGAGGCTAATTAGTTGCAATTGAGTACCACTGAAACCTGGAAGAGCTAGTAGTTCAGTTTGAAAAATTTTGTATTAGTCTAATCATTTATAGTTTAAAAGTTATTTGCAGCTGTATTTGCTGCTTTATGATTAGATTTTTTAAGGGGAGCAAATGAGAAGATATTGCCTGTCAGCCAAGATGTCTATTCTAGTACATGTTCATTAAGAACTGAAGGTCCTTGTACTGAAAACATTCCTACTTTTGTCATTCAGCTCTTGAACTAAAAATATTGAAACATAAAATGTAAGTAGGTCCTCACTGCAAATACATCTTTTATAGATGAGACGTGAGCATACATTGAAATATTTACCATGAGAAGGTCATGCTACTTCTGGTCAGAAGGTCAGACTACTTCTGCTTTGGCCAGGCAAACCTGCAAGAGCCTACCTGCAGTCTGTCTCTCTAGTGATTGAGGGCCCAGCGTGTCCCATCAACAAGGAACTGGCCAGTGATTTAACATTTTCCCCAAGTTAGCATTAGGCAATAGGGGTCCTTCACTGTTCAGTGTACTTCTAGGCTATGATATACTTCCAATTCATTTTTTCTGCTCCATGACAGGTCTGTCTACCCTGACCTAAGTCAGCAGTACACCACTGCAGCAAGAAAGGCAAATTGGATCCTGGGCTGCATCTGCAGGGACATTACTGGCAGAGGCAGAGGTGTCACCATCCCACTCTACTCAGTACTTGTCAGGCTGCACCAGGAGTACTGTGTCCTCCTCTGGTGGCCACCATTCAAGAAACACATATACAGACCGGTGGCCATGAGTCAAGAAACACATATACGGACTGCAGAGAGTCCCAAGGAGAGCCATGAAGATGGTCAAAGGGTTGGAAAACCTGTCCTGCGAGGAAAGAGGAGTTCAGTATTTTCTACCTGGAGAAGGGGAACCTCATCACTGTATTCCAGTATTTAAAGGACAGCTACAAAGGAGACAGAAGCTCTCACTTCACAAGTGGAGAAGACAAGGGGAAAGGGGTACAAGTTGCACCAGGAGAGGCTTCATCTTGATATAAGAAGGGATTTTTTTTTTTTTCAGTGAGAACCTGGAACAATTCCGGGGTAGAATCCCCATCTCTGGAGGCTTTCAAGATGTGACTGGACAGGGTGCTAGATAATCTCATCTAGGTTCCCTTTTCCATGAGAGGCTGGACCAGATGACCTTCTGATGTCCCATCCAACTAGGACTATTCCATGATTTTATGACATGCATCACTGCTGTTCTTTACACTAGGGACTCCTTTCCTTCCTGACTCTTGGTCTTGCCACAAACCACATTTTTATCTTGCTCTTTGGACCAGTTCATCCACTGGTTTTTAATCCTGGATTACCTTCACTGTGATTCTCTCCATTCTTGACCCCCGCCTGGCAAAGTTACTTTAAGATAGCCTGCCTCAGTGTGCTCAGTCTGCATTTAGAGGACTGATTTTATCTCTCCAGTCCTCACTCAGCTGAGTTCTATATTTATTTATGTCAGGAATCTTCCAGATCTTTTCCTGTACCAAATGTACCCATGCTCTTTGGTACTTACTCCTCCATTTGCTATCCATCAGATGATGTAGATGTCCCTTATTTCTCCAACAGTGCCTAACATCCTTCTGTTGAGCCAGGTTCTCTTTGTGTTCTTAGCCCTTATCAGGGCTTCTGTGTGTCCTGCATGCTCTTGGATGAAGTTTTGACATTATTTTAGTCTTCTGCATGACTCTTTATTTTACTTTTCCTGTCATGACCTTCACTGCTTTTTGTCCACATTCCACAGGCACGGTGTGTCTTCTATTCTTTGCTCACAAGAGTTTCCTGTTTCTTACCATTTGCAATACTATGCCTCTACCTTTTTGTCTTTTTCTTCTGTTGAAAAGACTCACAGCCTACTAGAATTTTAAACCTGTATTTGGCAGATCAACAGACCTAAAGCATAGGATAATGTTCTGTTCAGAACTTAAATTATGAAGGGAGAAATAAATAGTGTCCTATTTCAGTATAACTCTGAATGATTCCCATTTGTTCTTCTGTACAGAGATTGCAGCTTTCAAACAGTAACTAATGACTAATGGCCTAAATTGTAAAGACATTTTTGGGCCAGTCCTGGGCCCATCTCCTTCTTTGTGTAAAGCAAGAGTAGGAGGAAGAAAAGTAGACGTGACTGCTGTCTAGAGTAATCCTAAGTAAAAGTAGCTGGGGCTCATACAAAACAGAACCGTGGTTTTCCAGGTCCTGAATTTGTTGGAGCATGCTCCTGGGTATTGCATTCCCATGATCCGTAGATGGCACAACAACATAATAGCAACCTTCATCAGACAGCTAGAGCAGCCCTGAAGCTACTTTAACTTAGGTCTTTGTCTGAATTGGGCCTTAGCAGTTACATCCCACTTCAACCTGAATCTTGCTATGAGAGCAGCTCAGAAAGAACTGAATTTTAATTTAGTTTGGAACTTCTATTATTTTACATATTGTAGATTTCCTCCAAGTTCATTGTTTAAAAGGCCAAGTCTTATAACTCCTTTAAGTGCTGTTATTTTCAGAGCTGCACCAAAACTCAAACAAAAATTATTTTTTTCTAAGAGACAAAATTTTCTTTGTAACTACTAGCTTTAATGGAAAGAAAAAACAAACACCAAAATAAGCCTTATAAAGCTTTTTGTTCAACTCAAATCAAAGAGCTGAGGAACAGTGCTGGCAATCTAAGGAAGGGTCCAGGAACAGCAGTTTCCAAAACATTAAGACAAAAATCAAAACAAAAGGCATTTTGCAACACCAGTTTTTGTGTTTTATTTTGTTTCAAGAAGTCTTCGAGTAAGTCTTGGTCAGATTGAAACATAGCCCTGGAAATTTACAGCACACTATATTTCTGGTCATTTTGCTACATATTCTTTAAATCAATAGCCCTGGGAAAAATAAGCTAAAAATTCTTCCATGTGTGTAGGCATTTACAAATGTACAAAACGATCTCAAGACTCTAACCAGATTTAATCTAAGATCTAATTAGATTTTTGTGGAAGCATATCTCAGTAACCTTTGCATTTAACCCCATGCTTCTTTTTAAATGATAAGTAAGGCATTATACAGGTTTTAGACTATTTTATTGCCTGATAGCTTTATTAGACATTATCCAGTTTTACATGTGGTTTCAAATTGTCAAGGACTGGTTCTAGACAGTAGAGTAGTATCTGGTATGAAGTCTTTTTTATAGCTGTTCTGGTGTCCTCAACATAAGAAGGAGGAACAAGTCCAGAGGAGGGTCACAAGGATGATCAGGGGACACGAGCACCTCCCATAGAAAGTCAGGCTGAGAAAACTGGGGCTGTTCAGCTTGGAGAAGGGAAGGCTATGTGGAGACTTCATAGCAGCCTGCCAGTATCTGAAGGGGGCCTACAAAGATGCTGGAGAGGGACTCTTCATCAAGGACAATTGCAATAGGACAAGAGAGAATGGGTTTAAACTAAAACTGGGGAAGTTCCAGTTAGATACAGAAGAAGTTCTTTACTGTGAGGGTGGTGAGACACTGGAACAGATTGCCCAAAGAAGTGGTAAATGCTCCATCCCTGGCAGTGTTCAAGGCCAGGTTGGACAGAGCCTTGGGTAACATGGTCTAGTGTGAGGCTTCCCTGTCCGTGCAGGGGGGTTGGAACTGGATGGTCTTAAGGTCCTTTCCAGTCTTAACCATTCTATGACTCTATGATTCTATGTGTGAACCACACATATTGATTATGGGTAACAACTTTGAAGCTTCTGTTTCTCATCCCTGTTTCCACTGTAGTTGCTTTAATCTCTGCACTGAGTTGTAACTGGACTGGAGCTTTCCCATCCTCTCAGACTCTAATGTGAGCTCTGATGGCCACTCTCTGGTACTTAGCAGCACATACTAGCACTATTTCAAATGGGAATGATAAATAAAACTTTCATATACAGCCTTGTAGCTGTGTGGAAGTGGATGATGGTACCCAGGTGCATACTATGGTTACTTGATTTGAAAACAAAATATTAAAAAACAGTGAAGTACCTTCTGTGTATTACCCACATGGGGTATCTAGAACTAATGCCAGAACACTTATGGACAGAGTGATAACTTCTCTCTGGTTAGAAGTACTGTGAGAATAGCAGTATGGCTTTAGTGTCCAAGTAACCAAGTTACTTAAATTGATGCAAGTCAAGATGCAGCAGTTTTTGTTTAGATGTGAAGAAATAATGACTATGAAGCTGTGCACAAAAATATTAGGTTGCTTCACTGTCATTTATATCTCTTCATACTTGCTGTAAGGTATTAAAGTAAACTATGAACTAAGGTAGTTCATATTGCTTGGAAGTACTTTATAAAGACCGGTAATACCTTTATGCAAAGTACTCCACAAGCACTATGGACTCGCAACTTAGTTGAGCTCAATTATTTTACACAAGACAGAGCTGAGTTCCCACATGCTCTTCTTGGCTGCTTTTTATAAAGCTTTAGTACAGACCTTTATTTCAGGTAGACTTAAAACATTTGTTAGAAAGGATAGTTATAGATGTTTCTGTCACAATAAAAAAAAAAAACAGCTTACCTGGGTTTACTTGCTTTAAGTCTCATTTACTTTTCTGAGCCAAAAATTTTCCCCACTGTTAACACATTTTTCTCATTACTTACTGGATATCATCCAATCAATCACTAGTTAACCTACTCACACTTCACTGGATTTCCTCATTTATCGAACAACACACCAAATAGACTTTGGAAGCTACTGAGCCAATGTAAAATCAAATGGACTTTATTACTACAGTATTAACAGCTTAGCATCTAGGAAAGAAAGGAAGAAATGAAGGAACATATGCAAGTTTTGTAGCAAGAATGCTCCTGGAGTTAAATAAAAGCCAGAAGAAGAATCACGTGATTTTAAAAGCCTGTGAGTAAAGAGTTTGCTTTCTTAAAGGAAGTATTTCTAGTCAAAGGACTGGAAAACTTAGGAACATTTACTCATTATAGCCTTTTTATTCCCTTCACTTCAGCTCATCTCCATTATAGTCAGGTCCAGAATTCCTTTCCCTCCCTACAGCTCTCCCCTTAAAGTTCTCACAGGGCTTTGTAGCAGGTTTCATGAGGAAATTATTTTTTTACACTTATGTATTGCAGTCTGTCTCTAATAACTTTTAAACGTGTTTTATTTATATTTAACAGAGGAAGAAGCTGTGATTATGTCATTCTGCTTTTGTACACATAATCTGAATATCTAACCACAGAGTTTTGTGAGCTCCTAGAGTGATATGCATGTGTGTAAATATATCTAGCTCTTGCTCATTCCAGTAAAACAGAAGGCATCATATTAACCCCACTGAAGAAAATGTTAAAAAAAAGGAAATGCACAGAAAAGTTCTATGGAGACTCAGCTTTTGTCATTCCAATACAATCAGAATTTTAAGGTTTTATTACTTTTTTTTTTTTTTTTTTAAGAAAGTGCCATTGATTTTGGAGTGGTAAGTTTTTTTTCTGGCTCCATCATCACACCAACAGTTTATTTGCCTACTTAGGATCATTTCCTGACCTACCGAAGGGTTTTCATAAAATGGATGCTTTCCCATATGCACTTCACCCCATTCGTGGAATTGGAAAAATCTGCGAGAAGCCCAGCTGCACTCCTTTAAATGCAGCTAAATATAATTTTACATAACATAGAACAACACCTGTTGGAGAATAAGGCACATCCATAAATCAGTAGTCTGGGTGGCTAGGTAAAGAAAAATTTTCATGGCATTAGTGAATGTTTTCTTCAGGGTGCAACATGGCAAATATACAATTAGTGAAAACTGAAAAAGCACAGGAATCTAGGGCACATGCAGATCAGTGAATGCTTTTGCTTGTTTATTTGGCATAGGCTTGCTGTGCTAGTATCACTTAGTAATGTAAGAAAGTGAGAACAGCCAGCGAGTGGAATGAAAAGTCAGGCTGCTGCTGCTAACGACAGCAGATACCTACGGAGGAATATAGGAAACAGGTAAAGTACAGAGTAATCCTTGCATTGGTAGACATGCTTAGCTTCTGAGAGGTGATGACTTAGGGGTTTCTGAAACTTCTTTCTGCATCTGGTTCACAGTGCTCATTAGCTACCAGTGGACATACACTCCATGAATTTATGCAGTATTTTTAAAAGCCATTTATGTTTTTAGTTTCTATAACAGAAATGATTTCTAGTTTGACTTAGTTTGTAATTGTCTGATTTTCTAACATACTGCCCTCTTTCTTTCATTTTATAAATGATAAATAATAATTTCCAACTCATTCTCCAGTCACTCCTAATTCTATACCTTTACTGTATCTGTTGGATAATAAGGATTCTGTTGTATTTTGGGGGAAAACTAAAACCAAGTTCTTGACTTAAAGTTACACAGTTCAATGTCTCTTGTTATCTTTGTCACCTTTCTCTGCACCTTCTCTAATTTTTATTCTTTCTGAGGTAGGATTGTCCAAGGTAGATGTAGTAATCAAGATGTGGGCATACCATCCATGCATACATCAGGCCAATGATGTTTTCTTCTGATTTTTAAGTTTTCTTTGCTTACAACCTTCTGCTTATTCTTATATTCGTATTCCAACAGTTTTTAACATTATTTACTTAACACTAAATGTTAGTTCTCCTTGGAGAACTAATGACAATAACCTCATTTTTTTTTCAGGAGAGGGAGGAGGAATTAATAGTAACTTAGAATCCTTTTTTTTAATATATGCAATTGCATTTTATTTTCCAAGTGTGCATTATTTCATACTTACAGAAGTGATGGTGACTCCTCCCCAGGTATACCAGATTTATATATCTGTCTTTCAGTTTTCTATTTGTACTAGTTTCTACCAATAATTTCTACCAGTAGTTTCCCCAATATGGAGGACAGTCTTAGTGGCTTAGAAGTTCCCAATATCATCTTGGGAGCCCTTATGAAAGGATCATGTTTATCGCATTTAATTTCCCTAGTACTAAGATATGAGAACAATCAGGTGTAATATTGCCAGATTTTGAAGCAGGGACTTTGAATTTGGCAGCATAATCTCTCTGATACTAGTGATGTGAATTTGCTATTTTTATGACTGCCATCAAACTTTGGCCAAATAAGCCCCAGGAAAACAATTCCCATCTGTTCAGTAAATACTAATAGATTTCTCTTACCTATAAACTATCCATTTTCATTGTTTTCACTTCTACATGAAAGTAGTGTATGGTTTATGATTTTTAGAAATATTGTATCTGTATGTAGAGATCTCCACTGTCACACAGCTGTTATGTATTAATTCGGCTCTTCTGCTGCTGCATCTGGTAGGTAGTGCAGTCATCAGATCCTTACCGCTGTAGCTCTGCCCCCCTGCTGGATAACAAAGAAGTAGCTTAGCTTGAGAACTGGAGCTCAGCAGAACATCTAACATTTTGGTTATGATACTGAGAGCTACTGTGGTGCTAAAACTAAAACTGTGGGTAATGTCTGAGGTTTTCCTTGTTCACCCACTAACATGGAGAATTTGCACATGCAGTCTGACTGGAGTACAAGTCTCCTAGGCAGCTTCATATTAAGGAAGACAAAGCAAACTTTATTACCAGGAGAACGCAAAAGAAAAGAATGGCTAAGGAAGAAGGAGAAACTCCTCTGAGAGCCTGGAATTAATCCATAAGTCAACGTGTGCATCTGCCATCATCAAACAGCTTTGGAAACAATGCAAAGGTGTGTAACCTTTCTTCTGATCTCTGTATAGAGGACAGCAACAAGTTACCAGGAAGTCTGTGCTGTCAATCTAAATGGTTCAG